ACATTGGAAAAGCTCTAGCAAACGAACTAACCGACCTTTGTGCTATGCTTAGGATTGGGTCTTGTCCATCACATCATTCTCCTAATGATGTGATCCCGTTATCAACGACATCCAATGTCCATAGCCAGGAAACCATGACTATCTGTTGATCACAACGAGCTAGTCAACTAGAGGCTCACTAGGGACATATTGTGGTCTATGTATTCACACGTGTATTACGATTTCCGGATAATACAGTTATAGCATGAATAAAAGACTATTATCATGAACAAAGAAATATAATAATAACAGTTTTATTATTGCCTCTAGGGCATATTTCCAACATACAAGTCAAAGTGGCGAGCAGCCATCAAGTGATGATGATGAAGTTGGTAATGATGATGCCAACGAAAATCCACCTGATTCACCACCAGTGTAGTAGCAAAGAAGAAGTGAAAGAGGTCACATTCCTTCTTCTAAATATCCACCACATCAATATGTGTTGATGACTGATGCAGGTGAGCCCTCATGCTATGAGGAGGCAATGTTTGATGAGAATAAAGAAGAATGGTCAGAAGCCATGTAGGATGAGATGAATTCCCTGTATGAGAATGATACTTTTGAGTTGGTGAATCTACCAAAGGGCAAGAAAGCACTCAAGAACAAGTAGGTGTACAGAGTGATGACTGAGGAAAACACCTCACATCCAAGGTACAAGGCCAGATTGATTGTGAAAGGATTCAGTCACAAAAAGGGCATTGATTATGGTGAGATATTCTCTCCAGTGGTCAAGATGTCTTTGATCCGAGTTGTGCTTGGCATGGCTGCCACCATGGACTTGGAAATTGAACAAGTTGATGTGAATACAGCATTCTTACATGGTGACCTAGAGGAGGATATATACATGGAGCAGCCAGAGGGATTCATGGTTGCAGGCAAGGAGCACTTAGTTTGCAAATTGAAGAAGAGCTTGTATGGCTTGAAGCAAGATCCTCGGCAGTGGTACAAGAAGTTTGAGTCTTTTATGAATGGGCTCGGTTACCATAAAGCACAACCTGATCATTGTGTCTTTATGAAGAGGTACGCCGAGGGTGGCTTCATTTATTCTCTTGTTGTATGTTGATGATATGCTGATTGTTGGAAATGGCACAAAGAGGATTGGTCTCCTCAAGAAGGCATTGAGTAAATCATTTGCCATGAAGGATTTAGGACCAGCTAAGCAAATACTTGGCATGAAGATCTCTCGTGATAGATCAAAGAACCTGCTTTGGCTCTCACAGGAAAGATACATTGAGAAGGTACTTGAAAGGTTCAATATGAAAGATGCAAAATCTATTATCTCTCCGCTTGCAGGTCATCACAAACTGAATTCGAAACAGTGTCCTACAAGCAAGAAGGAGAAAGAAGAAATGAGAAAAGACCTTACCAATCTGCTATGGGCAGTTTGATGTATGCCATGGTACGCACTAGGTCTGACATTGCCTATGCAGTTGGAGTTGTTAGCCGGTTCATGACAAATCCAGGTAAAGCTCACTGGGAAGCAGTGAAGTGGATTCTCAGGTATCTCAAGGGTACTTCTACATCTTCTTTATGCTTTGGAAGCGGTGATCTTGTATTGCAGGGCTATACAGATGTAGATTACGCAGGTGACAAGGATCGTAGGAAGTCCACATCTAGATACCTGATGACTTATGCAGGGGGAGTAGTGTCATGGCAATCAAGATTGCGGAAATGTGTTTCTACATCAACTACAGAAGCTGAGTACATTGCAGCAGTTGATGCTGGCAAGGAAGTTTTGTGGATGAAGAACTTCTTGCAAGAGCTCGGTATGAAGCAAGAGAAGTATGTTCTATTTTGTGACAGTCAGAGTGCTATTCATCTTGCCAAGAATTCAAGCTATCACTCTCGAACCAAGCACATTGATGTGAGGTACCATTAGATTCGAGATGTCGTGAGTTCCAAGTTGCTGAAACTTGAGAAGATCCATACTGACGAAAATGGTTCGAATATGATTACCAAGATATTACCAAATGAGAAGCTACAAGTATGTTGCAAGGTAGCGGGCATGGCGATGCCCCCCTCATGAGTCGGAGGGGGAGATTTGTTGGGATATTCTCCTCATGTGGGCTGTGAGGAGATGGCAATTTGAGGCCTTTTTAGGCAGCCCAAAGAGGTGCAGAAGCCCACTACCCATTAGGGTTATGACCTAGGGCCATTTTGGACTTGCACATGAGTGGATGGGGATGCTTTACCCTCCATCCAGCAGCCACCACCAAGAGTGACGAAAGTTAGTTCATCCTCCAAGAGAGAAGAAGAGAGAGAATCAAGAGAGCAAGGGAAGAAGAGGAAGACTGAAGGAAGAATCAAAAGGAGCTCCTCCCCAAGGTTGTGATGGTCCAGATCCACTACCTTGCCTCCTTCAAGCTTCGGTTCCACCATCTTTGGTGAGATTGTTCCAATCTCTAGTTCTTGAGCCCCAAATCTTGTTGTGTTCATCCAAGATTCAGAAATCTTGATGTATGAGATCCTCTAGTGCTGTCTAGAGAAGAACTTGTTGTATCCCACATTTGATAATAGTGGAAGAGGATTTGGGTGGCTTCAGCCCGTGGTTTTTTCCCACAAGTTGAGGGGTTTTCCACGTAAATTTGGTGTCTCTTTGTTGATGCTTGGTGCTGTCCAGAAACTTACTCCTACCACAAGACACTAGGCTGACGAGTGTCTTGCCCGCTGCTTAACATTTTCTGCCTCCATACATGTTGCTGCATATGTTTTCTTCCGTGCTAACCAACGATCCTTGAGTTAGTACATGATGTGGTGCTGAGATTACTTTCTTTTCACTGCAGTTATCAGTTAACCACAAGTGCATTTGTGTGCTAATTCCCAACAGAGAGAATGATGACAATGACGGATGATTCGACGACAAGAATGTGTGTACTCCAGATGAAAACACATAATCTTCCTTTCAAGGCTATATCAGGCAATGTGGGCTTGTGACGTCGTGCCCTTGTTGAAGCTATTGCGTCAAAGCTTGACTTCAGGGATGAAAATCCTCTATTCAAACTTTAGTCAAAGTCATCAACATCATCGTATGTATGACCAGGGACGGAGCTAGCAGGATGCGAGCTTGGGCCATGGCTCCCTCCGTGTTGTAAAAAAAAATCCTCAAACTGCCCCTAAGTAGTATGTGGAATGAATGAATGTAGCCACTAAATTCTTATATATGCCTCCCCACACACAAAATAAAATTCCTAGCTCCGTCCCTGCATATGATGCATCATTGAAGGCTCTGTCTAGGAGTGGCATTTTTCGGTTTGATTAGGTTTTGTCATAAGGTTAGCGGTAGGATTGCCGAGATTGTGCCACGGGGACAGACCCATTTTGGATGGCCTATGGTTTTCCTTTTTTCTTTGTTATTAGTTGATTCTTTCAGCATCAATGGTAGGCTTTGCTTGACACTGTGAATTAGTCAATGATATATGACTGTAGAATATACATGCACAATATTAGATCAATGCAGGGAATTAAACCTTGAGCGGCGAGACAGCAAGTGTTTGCAAGTGATACTGGGTCTAATAGCTAGCTCAATCGTGCCAGCCCCCTTAATTGGAAATAAAATAGAACGAGATATACTCATAATGACCGCTAGATTCTCTCTCTCTCTCATGGAAGTCCTTGTTTAAAAAGAAAGTTTTTGATCTATTCGTATTCAATCATGACAGACAACGAATACCAGAAATAATAGAAAATTAAATTCAAATCCGTAGATCCCTAGCAAAGACTAAAAATACTGAAGCAAGGCGAAGACGTGCCGCCAAACAAAACTTGTTGTAATAGACAGTCAACAAATCGTCGTGCTAAGGCCACATAGGACTATCACACTAGAACAACAACCACCGCCAATGAAAGTTTTTATTAATTTCTTTGTCATCTATGAAGAGTATATATATAGAACCATGCACGAAAGAGTTCGGCTTCTTTTCGCATTTGTATGTCGAAGACGCGTACAGCCAAATATAAGCTGCTGGATATCATTGTAGATGCAAATTGTTTAGTGAGTCCCAATGCAAGAGTTAAGATTAAGAAGATAACGCCAGTTGTGTTACTTTATCAGCTGGCGACCACTACCTGCTAGGAATCGTACGAGAAAGAGTGTATAGAAAGCGTCGTTGCTAGGAATCGTACGAGAAAGAATTATAAATAGAAAGCGTAAACTATGTGAGCCTATGTACCGGTTCATTGTATGCACACCTGTACAGGCACCAGCTACTATTAATGTAAGCTTGGTTTGTTGATATATGAGGCGACACGGAAACTTGTTTATCTCTGTCGTCTCTGTCTGCATCCCATGGGCTCATGCATGAAAGATGCAGCAGCAGTAATGATAGCTCAGGGTGTGTGCTTGCACCAATGGCTTCGCCGTTCGCCAATCTGGGCGGGTTTTCTTTCCAAATCACCTTTTAATTTTCATCCACTCCATGCATATGTGCACATGCATGGCGCCGTACGTTAAGCGTAGATGCATGCACCCTCCATATGCGCCTCATGTGCTAGCTTCAGGAGCCAGCCTGCTAATTTGGGTTAGATTGCATACTACTACTTACGTATATACGTACCTACTGTGTATACACGTATTATAGGAAAAGATACTGACCAGATGACGCCCGGGTGCGTTGTCGTATCCAGCCGCCCTACGTCATTCGCATCTGTGCAATCCTATTCGTCCATACTAGATCGGTCCTGCATGCAATGCGAGGCCCGTGTAGCTGTAGCTGATGGATGGACAAGTTGATCTATAGATTACAGTTGTGTCATTACAAGTCAAAGCTTGTCTGCCCCGTGTAGCTGCGTTTGTTCGCTGAACGCTGGGTATATATATAGAGAGATATACTGTATATACGGATTGTCTCGTAGACTCGACGTATATGCTGCTGTCTTAACTCTGGATTATCTTCGATGCAAAAAAAAAAAACTCTGGATTATCTCTGCCTCGTCCACAAGGCTTAGGATTAGCTTAATTATACATGGAGCTACCTACAGGTGAACACTCCTACCACCACGGCTACTCTATTTCTTTCTCCTCCGGCACACCACAGTACACACATCATCAGCGTGCGCAAGCTCGAGCTCGTGCTGACATGGAGGTCGACCACCAGCGGTTGTCGTTCCTCATGGAAGCTACCTCCATCACCCGCAAGGACGACGGCTCACCTCCCGCCTCTGCAGGAGACGCGGGCGGCGACCACAGTGGAGGCAGCGAGTTCATGGCGACTCCTGTCGCGTGGCCGCCGCTGGGACTCCAGGGGTGCTCCAGTGGTTCATGCAGTGCGCCGGAGTCGCCGTTCATCGGGGTGCGGAAGCGGCCGTGGGGCAAGTACGCCGCCGAGATCCGGGACTCCACCCGCAACGGCGCCCGTGTTTGGCTTGGCACGTTCGACACTCCGCATGCCGCCGCGCTCGCCTACGACCAGGCCGCTTTCTCCGTGCGCGGCCCGGCCGCCGTGCTCAACTTCCCGGTCAAGCTTGTGCAGGAGTCGCTGCGCGCGCTCGGCATCGGCGGGGCCGCCGCCGCGGGGGACTCGCCTGCGCTCGCGCTGAAGCGCCGCCACTGCATCCGGAAGAGAAATCCCAAGAACAAGAGGAAGACGGGCACGACAACAGCGGCAGCGGGGGCCGATGCTGCATCGTCATTGTCAGCGTGCGTGCTGGAGCTGGAGGACCTTGGAGCCGACTACCTCGAGGAGCTGCTCACCATGTCGGATCTGTGAGCCACCGCTCCGCTCATGCATCCTATATATGTATATATGATGAAAAAAAAACTTGATGTGTCCGTCATGGTGAACCGAACCGATCGAGAGCTCCTGCCATTTCTTTCCGTGAGAGCGACGCCGTGTTATGCAGAGGTAGCGGCGAGCTATCGCATCCGTTTAGTTCATCGGGATTTCCATGAAGGGGAAGGATGATGTAGCATAGTAGCGAAGTATTTTCCTCGGTTAAGAATCAGATTTTATCGAACCAATAGGAGCCTTCACGAAAAACAGATAAACGGTACCTACACCCACAAAGCAAATACTTGTACCCAACGAAGGCAAGGGGGTTGACAGTTCCCTCGTTCTTGCCGGTTACAAGGATTAAATCTGGTAGTGATAGATGGATAATATAAAAGTAAAATAAAAGATAATAAATTGCAGCAATGTATTTTTAAGGTTTTAGTAAAATAAAGTGAATTGGAACCCGGGGGCCATAGCATCACTAGAGGCATCTCTCCCATAAGCATAATAACAAGGTGGGTAGACAAATTACTGTTGGCAATTGATAGAAAAACACATAGTTATGATGATATTTATGACATGATCAATATATAGACATTACGTTTGTGACAAATAGACCAGCATCCATCTGCATCTACTGTTATTACTCCATTTCGAGAGCGCTTCTATGCTTGCCTCTCTAGATATTAAGTTCAATAACAAACAGAGTAATGATTTAACCATGAGACATAATGTAGACAAAATAAGACCAATCAATATGATCGAACCCCATCATTTTACCCTTAGTAGCAAGAATACAAATACGTGCCTCACTACCCCTTCCGTCACTAGGTGAGGACACCGCAAGACTAAACCTACTATTATGCACCACTTCCACTGAAGATCTAATCTTTAACTTGCCCAAAGAAAACTCATAGATTGAAAAGCATTACGTAGCTATAAATAATCACACATAATAAAGTTTAGAGAAGAATTAATTACTTTCAATGAATATCCATATCATAAAACCACAATTCATCAGATCCCAACAAATACACCACAAAAAGGGATTACATCATATTGATCTCCGAAGAAAGCATGTATTGGAGAGAGAGAGAGAGAGAGAGAGAGAGAGAGAGAGAGAGAGAGAGAGAGAGAGATCTAGCTACTACGACGGACCCCTAGGTCATGTGAGGAACTACTCATGTATCATCGAAGGGCAGCAAGGTTGGCCTAGAGTCCCTCCATGATCGATTCCCCCCATGTAAAGTATCGAAAAAGGCCTCCAGATAGGATCACGGAAGAACAAACTTGCGGCAGTGGAATAATTGTTTCGGATCTCACTCTGAGGGTTTCTGAATATATGTGAATTTACAGGTCAAGAATTAGATCAATCGGAGCTAAGGGGGCCCATAAGGGGCAGGGCGCACAGCGCGCCCCTGCCTTGTCGCCTCCTCGTCTGGCTTCTGGACTTCTCACGGAGCTTCCTGTGTCTCTTTTGGTCCAAAAAAAACCATCAAAAAGTTTCATTGTGTTTGGACTCCATTTGGTATGGATTTTTTTGTAAAAAAAATACAAACAGAAAACAACTGGCACTAGGAACTAAGTTAATAGGTTAGTTCCCAAAAATGATATAAAATGGCATATAAAGCATACAAGATTAATAATATAATAGCATGAAACAATCAAAAATTATAGATACGTTGGAGACGTATCAGCATCCCAAAACTTAATTCCTACTCGTCCTCAAGTAGGTAAATGATAAAAACTGAATTTTTGATATTGAATGCTACCTGACATGTTTCATCATGTGATTTTCTACGGTATGAATATTTGAGAAACGATGATCTAATTGATATCAACATAATAATATGCATGAATACTAGAAAAAATCGTAAGTTGATATATTTGAAATAATACGGTTAATCATACGGACGGCGCTATGCAGAGTGAGGATTGTCGCACATGCGTCACTAGGATAAATCAGTCAGGGCAGGGGTTATGCAGACAATCCAACGGATAATGTTATCAGTCTCACCATGGGCACCAGTTTGGACCAATTGAGCGAAGCCCATGGTTTGTACAGCATTTTCGGGTGAGTGGAAGCCGAGAGCAAGCTGAGGATGATATATGGAAGTCTTTGCTGAGTTAGAATCGAAGGGTGGGCAGCTTTAACTAGCGTGTCCCAAGCTGACACTGAAAGCCGGATGCGTACGTGCATCACGGTACGAGCGGGGAGTCCGGGCGCCGCCGTGCCGTTGGCGGCGAAGACGTTCCGCATGGTGAGCGACCGGGGCACCTCGTGTGCCGGGGAGGCACGAGCAACACGTTCCTCGTCCTCGACCCCGCGGCCTTCTCCAACTTTCTATACAGATTTATGCATGCCTCCTCTGCGCCAGCCAGTGGCTAGCTCTCAAGTGCGGCTCAGTGGTTGTGCTTATTCCTGCTCCCCATTGCTGATTCAACCTCAGGGTTTTCCCAAGTTTTTCTTTTCGAGGATACGGTTTTCTCAAGGTTGGCCCGGACACGTGGCATGTGGGAGTTGGCGCACGAGTGTTCATGCGCGCCCAGGGAAAACTGCCGCTGATCGTTGCGCAAGAAGAAGAGGGAGCTGTGCGAGGAACGATCCAGGCGGTGGTGCAGAGGCTACGTACTCAGTTGAAACGGTTAGCTACCAGTACCAGCAGTAAAAGCTATCGCGCATTTTCAATTAGAGCAAATTACATCACCTTGTGGTGTGCATTAAACCGGTGCAATAACTTGGTTCCCTTGTGCAAATACACTGCAAAATGCAATTGAATACGCCCATAGGACTGACTAGGCGTGACAGGGTGACATGGGTCCATTGTCAGGGCGCAAGATGCAGGGCGTGTGCCTTGTTAATTTGCGAAAATACCCTTGGAATTTTTTTTCCACAAGAAAGCCCCAGCAAGCTGGGTCCCCCAGTCAGTAGTACAAAATGTAAATAATCATAAAAATTAGTCCTGCTATGTCTAAACATGAGAACTGCAGCGTGCACACTGAAGGTACTAGCCACTGCAGCCCCAACATTTTCCTCGGATATATTGGATAGCTAGCCTAAATATCTTATAGCAACGACGCTCACTGGGCATGGACTGCAGTTAGTGCGGCTTATTTTGTATGTGGTAATTGTTTTTGAGATATTTGCAAAATACATGTAGTAAGTAATAAAATAATGTTCAAATATTACTAAGCTATAAGTAGTATACACAAAAAATTATGGTTAGTAAATAAAAGCATTCAAAATCTTTAATGAATACGAACATTTTTGTACACTCGTGGCTCATATTTAAATTATACAAAATATTGAATACAAACATCTACTAAATATTTATGACCATCAACTTCTGTATAATTCACGTGTGACCTATATTATTATTTTTCATAACTTACGTATTAACACTATTGAATATTCATATCAACATTTTATTTTCTAAAATATGAATATTTTTTTATTATACAAACATTATTTTAAATGACATACCTATGAGTTATAAAATTATGCGCCACTCTTCGGATGCCTTCTTCGGAGTACCGGACAGGTATCCTGTCTCGGCTATGCGCCATACCTCGGCGCCGCCCACCTTGAATATGGATCCCTTTTGGGAGCGAGGGAGGAGGCGGAAAAGCTTCCTCCATAGCTCGAAATGGGCCTAGCATCCTAGGAACAGTTCGCAGAGGGCGACGAAGCCTGGCGTGAGATTGTGCAGTTGGAGGCCATAATACTCCAGGAGACTCCAGAGGAAAGGATGGATTGGAAATCCAACGCCTCTCAAGAGAAAGGAAACGAAGCACACTCGCTCCCCTTCTGAAGGATTCGGAAAATTTCCGCCAGGGCTTCACCCGTAAAAGAAGTTAATCGCGATGGCACCGGGACTAGATCCGCAGGGGGACGGTAGCCTTGCACCTGGAGCTTGGTCAGCTGGGCATGGGATACTGAACATCTCTCCCAATCGCCTTTTTCGGAGCCATGAGGGCGGGAGGAAGAACTGAAAGTGCTAGTGATCGACTAGAGGGGGGGTGAATAGGCAATTTTTATGGAAGTCTTCAAAACATGGAAGTTTCGAAGACAAACAAGAGAAATAAACCTATTATCATGCAGCGGAAGGTAGACTACACTAAGCATGCCATAGTCAAGTATTCAATGAAGTGAAAGCACAACGACTACTAGCAGCTAGGTAGTATAGATCAGGTAGGAAGATAGTGTGAAGCCAATCAGAACAAGCGGTCACTCAATGAAGACAAAAGACAATGCAATCATACAATGACTTCACTAGAGCCAACAGTAAGTAAAGGAATGGGAAGGATGAAACCAGTGACTCGTTGAAGACAATGATTTGTTGGACCAGTTCCAGTTGCTGTGACAACTGTACGTCTGGTTAGGGAGGCTGAGATTCAACTCAGAAGACCGCGTCTTCACCTTATTCCCCTTGAGCTAAGGACACCCAGTCCTCGCCCAATCACTCTGGTAAGTCTTCAAGGTAGACTTCCAAACCTTCACAGACTTCGTTCACCGGCGATCCACAATGACTCTTGGATGCTCAGAACGCGACGCTTAACCGACTGGAGGATTCACAGTCCTCAAGTGTAAAAAGTCTTCAGATCACACAGACAGGAAGACTTAAGTGATGCCTAACACTCTTTGGCTCTCGGTGTTTAGGGCTTTATCCTCGCAAGGAATTCTCTCTCAAAGGCTTCAAGGTGGGTTGCTCTCAAACGACAAAAGCCGTGCACTAACTCTGAGCAGCCAACCATTTATGGTTGTAGGGTGTGGGCTATTTATAGCCACTAGGCAACCCGACCTGATTTGTCCAAAATGACCCTGGGTCACTAAGGGAGTCCTGGATTAGGGGGTGTCCGGATGGCCGGACTATACCTTCAGCCGGACTCTTGGACTATGAAGATACAAGATTGAAGACTTCGTCCCGTGTCCGGAAGGGACTTTCCTTGGCGTGGAAGGCAAGTTTGGCGATACAGATATGTAGATCTCCTACCAT